GGAAACGGGCTCCTATAATTATACACCTATTGGTGGGACTTGGTATAGCAGGGTCCACAGCTATGGGAATATCTGCCCTCGTCACTGGAGACCAAAATTTTAAAACCCTATCACACCAAATAGATGCAGATATTACTCAACTGGAAAACTCCATTTCCCGATTGACGGACCAGGTGGACTCTTTGGCTGAAATGGTATTAAAGAATAGGAGAGGATTAGACCTGTTGTTCTTAAAGGAAGGAGGGCTGTGCCCCGCACTCGGTGAACAATGTTGCTTTTATGCAAACAAATCCGGGCTCATTCAGGACAGCCTTGTGATGGTTAGGCAAAACTTAGAAACAAGAAAACACTTCGGAGAGGCCTCAGAAAATTGGTACCAAAAACCATTCTCTTGGTCCCCCTGGCTAACATCCTTACTCACCGGATTAGCAGGACCCTTGGTCCTAATGGTCCTAGGGTTAATATTTGGACCATGCCTTTTAAACATACTCCTCAGATTTATCAGGGAAAGAATAGACTTGGTAAAGTTAATGGTTCTAAGATCCAACTATGGGCCCTTGTGCCAAGAAGAGGAAATCAATTAAAGATTTAATACATGTTAAAAGAACAGGGGGGAATGTGCTATAGCTGGCCTAGAGTTAGAACCTGAGCAACGCCATTTTATATAAGACAAAGCTGTTTTTCCAAAAATAAGTTGTAACGGCTGCCCCATTCTCCTTGCAGTAGCTGCTGACCTTGGCTTCTATAAATAAAAACAGCTAGCTTGCTCTGAAAAATGCCCACTATGTAAAGCTGCTTGCCTTTTCTTACCAGTAACAGCCAGAATTGCTGGCCTTTGCTTATCAGTAATTGCCAGAATACAGCTAGTGGTCGATTTACGACCACGGTTGGGACTGCGGACCGGTCATAACATGATTTGGTCGTAAGTTGAGTAGGCTATATGTACAGTTGAAATGGTGCACGCAGAGATGGTAGTGCTGCCGGAAGCTGGTCAGCACTGTCGTACACCCAGCTGGGCAACGTTTGCGCTGCCAGACGCGGAGCAGCCATGGCTAGTGATTGTGGTCATAAAGTCGAATGGTCATAAGTTGCATAGGTGGTAAGTCGATCAATACCTGTAAGCTTCTGTAAAGTTGCTTGGCCTGCATCCTCTCACCCTCTTGGCCCTGAAACCAGGATGTGGTTTTTCAGCTTAAAAGCCTAGCTCCCCCTGAGCTCGGGGCCACGGGTTAGAGAGACCTGAGTCCTCCGTGGCTGCCGGCAATAAAGACCCTGCAATTTGGCATACTTTTGTCTTGGTGTTAATTTTTATACTCGATCTAATACTTCAGTCCTACTATCACCCCCTCTCCAAAGATCTGTCAGACAGCTTACAAGACATAGCAAAATCCATCCTTGCCCTCCAGTCCCAAATAGACTCTGGCAGCAGTCACATTCCAAAACCGTCGAGATTTGGACCTCCTCACTACTGAAAAAGGTGGACTCTGCACCTCTTTAGGAGAAGAGTGCTGCTTCTACACTAACCGGTCTGGGCTAGTACAAGCTGCTGCCTGACAGTTAAATGAAAAACCCCTAAAATCAGACAGCGACTCTCAGACTCCTAGACTAACCTTTGGAGTTGGGCACCCTGCCTGCTGCCTCTCCTAAGCCCTGCCATAACTCTTTCCTCCTCCTAGAATTTGGCCTCTGCCTGTTACATCTCTTTACCCAGTTTTTACAGGACTGTATTAGAGCTTTTACACATGGGACAATATAAGATACGATGCTGCTCCAAGAATACCGACAGTTTCAGGAACAACAGTCTCTACAATCTAGCCTCTCCCCCGCAAACATCGTCCTTATCCAGCATGAAGCAGCCAGATGACAACAGCACCCCTCTTCTATAACCCATTAAAAGGCTAGAATGTTAGGGACAAGCTGCCCCAGAAAACCCCCTCAGCGCAGCTGATCCCCACCCTGATTGCTCTGCAGCTGCATTCCTAAACTCTTTATCTTGGTGCCACAGCAAGGCTACCAGACATGATGTGTTGAACAAAGCCTGGTTATAGCCATCTGAGCAGCCCAGGGGAGGTCATGAGAAACACATACCTGTAAATTGCTGGGGTTTTTTTTAACTGCCCACCGCCACAAAAGTCACAGGATGAGGTATTGTAAGTCTATCACAAGCTGATAAACAGTCTTTGTGCTTGTTACAAGCTCATAGATTCTCTCTCTCCAGAGACTCCCTGAGAACCCTCTCACCCCATATAATCCCCTCATTTTGTAAGCTCTGGACTGCTTCCTCTGACTGTTGTAGAGCAGCCCAGCAGGTCAATAAACTTGCTTGCCTGACTTTGGGTCTACTCATCCTTTCAGCTGACCTTACACCACCTTGAACAGATTTGTTCACTTATTTCAACTTTGTTTTTTTATTAACTATAATTTGAATTTTGTCAGTAAAGCTTAAAAAGAATATATTTACAAAGGAAATGAAAAAGGTTATTTTTTTTAAAAAAAGATGATTAAATATCTGATCCTTTTTTTTTTTTTTTAAAGATGGAGTCTAGCTCTGTCACTCCCTGCTGGAGTGCAGTGGCACAATCTCAGCTCACTGTAACCTCCACCTCCCAGGTTTCGGCAGTTCTCGCCTCGGCCTCCTGAATAGCTGGGATTACAGGTGCCCATCACCACACCTGGCTAATTTTTGTATTTTTAGTAGAGACAGGGTTTCACTGTGTTGACCAGGCTGATCTCAAACTCCTGACCTTGTGATCCACCCACCTGTGCCTCCCAAAGTGCTGGGATTACAAGCGTGAGCCACACCTGGCCTAGTCATATATTTTAATTGGTAGAAATTTTTTTTTTTTTTTTTTTTTTTTTTTTTTTTTTTTTTTTTTTTTTTTTTTTTTTTTTTTTTTTTTTTT